GAATGGAATAAATCCTAACATCTTTAGTGTTGGTCAAGGTTTATGTGAGGTTTCTGTCAGATTCTAGACTAGAAAAGTAGATAATTGTGAGTTTTTAACTTCGGGATTCACAAACATGTTTTAAAGGGATTAGAAAGTAAAGACTGATAAAAGCATTAACAGGAAAGATTAAGTTTAATGTAAAAGGGGGCAATATCCTGGTGGATTTGCAAAGAAGAAAAGACTGCCATAGTTAAAATGGGCAGTGGGAATTAGATGATTTTATAGACACTTCTAACATAGTTTTAGAGAGTGGGGTTTTACCAAAATCATCAGTAAATATGATAGTGTTGTGATATGTCCCATGTTCCCCTGCCCCCCCCCCCAAGGATTAAGTATTTCTCCTTTTTATCTTTCAAGGCAAATGAAAAGAAAGTTGACCAGCCTCCAGAAGCTAAAAAGCCTAAAATAAAGGTGGTTAATGTTGAGCTACCTATTGAAGCTAACTTGGTCTGGCAGTTAGGGAAAGACCTTCTTAACATGTATATTGAGACAGAGGTAAGTACTTGAATGAAATATTTTTATTTGGAGTATATTTAGTTGTTCGTACATATTCACAATAAATAAATAAGAGACTTTAATTTTTTTTCCCACATGTGGAGTTGTAAATAGTTTTAGGGATCAAATGAAGGCAAAAGGAATGGAATTTTTTTAGCAAGTTTACTGGGTTTTGCATAGTTATTTGTGAGATCTCTATCATACATTGTTCTGCTTGGTTTAAAGTTGCCTGAGTTCTTTTAAATAATTAGGTGACGGTTCATCTGAGTACAGTTACAGTGGAATATAGGTTGCACAGAATATTTCTACTAAAATACGTTGTGCTTTTTTGTAGTCTCAAACTCTAGAGAATAAAAAGGTAAAAGTAATTGAGATTCAATTTTTACCTAGGTGAGAACATTGTATTAGAAATTTAACAAAAAAATCATGCATTTTCTAATTTACAAATATTGAAGAATGGTATGACCATTCTATTAAGAAAACAACTTGTATTTAAAATGAAGAACTGTAGAGTTTGTAAACTAGTCTTAATGAGGTATACATCGAAACAAAAATAATTTTCATGTAATTGTTCATTCATTTTAGGACTAGTGTCTTAACTAGTTGGTTTCGTTTGAGTTTCTCGAAGATTAGAGTTACTTTATTTCCTCTTGCATACTTCCTCCAGGGGAAGATGATAATGCAGGATAAATTGGAAAAAGAGAGAAATGATGCCAAAAACGCAGTGGAGGAGTATGTGTATGAGTTCAGGGACAAGCTGTGTGGACCATATGAAAAATTCATATGTGAGCAGGTATGTTTAAGAGTTGTGTTTCTGGGGTTGGGGATTTATAAACGCTCAGTGGTACAGTGCTTGCTAGAGGCCTTTCTAGAGGCCCTGGGTTTGCAACTCCAAGTAGGAGGGGACAAGGCAGCTAAAGTTGTGTTTCTATTCGGATAGTTTTCAAAATGGTTAGTAATCATATTTGACATTTATACCTCTGCTGCCTTGTGGGAACTTGAGCTTTCTGAAAGCAAAACAGCTTGAAAACATAAACTGTCTGAGCAGAATCGTCGAGAGAAGCTCTCCATCTGTGAGCGTTTTGTTTTGTTCTAGTTTAACCAATCACTTGGTTTTTACCATTCAGAAGAGAGAACTTAAAATATCTTGAGTCTATGACGTCATGTGAAAGCCAAAGAGATGTAGAGAAGAATCCTTGTTTTCAAAGTCTTGGACTTTTATGATGGTGCTCCCTAGGCAGTTTTTTGTTACTATTTTAGCCTATGATCATTGCAGTGTTACTAAGTACCACTGTACCTCTAGCCCCTTTCTTGCCCCAGTGAAGGAAGTGCTGAGTAAATCCCAGAAACACAACTGTGTGAAAGATTGGGGGTCGGGGGGCGATGGCAGAAAGGGACAGCAGACACATGACAAGACAGATTGACCTAACTAGACAAAAATTGGGGGTGATATAGGGATTGTGAAGTTAAAGATCATTTAAATTCTGCAGCTGGAGAGATAGCTTAGCAGCTAAGAGCATTGGCTGGTCTTCTGAGTTCAAATTCCAGTACCCACATGACAGTTAACAACTGTCCATAACTCCAGTTCCAGGGGCTCTAACAACCTCTTCTGTCCTCCACGGACATTGTGTGACATGGTGCACTTACATACATGCAGCAGTACACACATAAAATAAAAATAAAAATTTATATATATGATCATTTAAACTCGTTAGTATTAAATAAAAGTCCTAAGACCCTGAGCTATTTTCTAATGTACTTTGGTTGGTACTTATGCCTTGGCATTTCCTGGGTGTTTATGGTTGAGTCTCTGAAGTAGGAATGAGTCTGTGGGCTTGATTGGATCTCCTAGGTCTGGAGTTGAAGCACGTGCCTTATGTGAAGTGGTTAGGAGTGGTGTTTTTCATGTTAGTGCTTGATTTATCAACTTGTATAGCGTCTCTTTCAGTATGTGATAGTTGTGGAAGTAAAGAGCTAATAGTTGAGACATAATTGGTTTGGAAAATAGGGACATAATTGTTCATCCGTAACAAACACATTTCTGTGAATAGATTATCCAGTTAGATTTCTAAGATACAGTATTAGAAGTCAGCAGGAGTTTACTAAAAGTACTCAAATGTCCTATGTAACAGGACAGAAAAGTCACAAAATACCTGTGCTTTGTCAAGTGAAATATGATGCATAAATACTAGAGTGTTGATTATTTTCACTGAAGAGAATCCAGCTTGATCAGTGCCTTCCCAGGTGAAATGAGCTTCCTTCCCATGTCTGTGATGCCTGCTGGTTTGTTGTGTGAGAACTTCTGAACTATTTTAGCCCCTAATCTCCATCTTTTGCATAAAGGAACACCAAAAATTTTTGAGACTCCTCACAGAGACTGAAGACTGGCTCTATGAAGAGGGCGAGGACCAGGCCAAACAAGCATATGTCGACAAGTTGGAAGAGTTGATGGTAGGCTCTTTTACTTGTATTTTAAATCACAGACTTTGAAAGTGCAACTATAACAACTTTTAATCTACATTTTAATTTAGAAAATGGGGACTCCCGTTAAAGTCCGATTTCAAGAAGCTGAGGAACGCCCAAAAGTGTTTGAGGAACTGGGACAGCGGCTACAGCACTATGCCAAGATAGCAGCAGACTTCAGAAATAAGGTAGTCATTCATTTTATGGGTTGGGAATGAATGTTCATAGTGAATAAATGTTGCTAAGTGAGGAAATATTGGGAGTTTGAGATCAGAGTGGAATTGAACTTCATGGAAATTTGGGTCAGGTGACATGTGATTGTTGAGTATTCTCTAGAGTGACTATTTTCTGTTCAGGATGAGAAATACAACCATATTGATGAATCTGAAATGAAAAAGGTCGAGAAGTCTGTTAATGAGGTGATGGAGTGGATGAATAATGTCATGAATGCTCAGGCGAAAAAGAGTCTTGATCAGGATCCTGTTGTACGTGCTCAAGAAATAAAAGCAAAAATCAAGGTAAGCAGTTTGAGTGTGTGTTGACCAGTGGATTTTTGTCTCGGGCCTAGCTTTAGTCATTTAGGCCTTGGACGTAGCCATTTTCATATAAACCTTAACCTTTGTGCTAAGACTGGTTTCCTAGTTCACAACTAAACAGGCCTCTTCTGCTAAATTTCTGTGTATTGTAGTTAAGCAGCATACTAGTTAAACCCCTATCGTATGGCAAGCGTACACCACCTGATAGTATGTCCTCTGTCAGGTAGTGTTCGCGCTGTGGGTTAAAAGGGATCAGGAAACGGCTGTGGAGAGCAGCGGGTCATTTTATTGTATTAGCGGTGGCCTTGCCCAGCCTTTGAGGACTAAAGGAAGAGGAGAAAGCTGCAGAAGTGCTTCTTGTCAAACAGGGTGAAGGCCAGGGAAAAGTGGACCTTTCCCTTCACTTTCAAGTTCCAGGCTATAAACTCGAATTCCAGCCTTTTTGCCTACTGGCTTTCCTTATCTTGAAATGACTTAACTTTTTTGTCATTTTTATTTTCCATAATGTAGGGATCATAATTCCTGCATTTTAATGTTGTAACTACCTGGCAAGTCCCTGATAAATCATAGGAAAGGAAAATCATTCGCTTTCTGATCAGGCTTCAAGCTATGGTTTGGGCAAGTTTCTTTGATTTGTAATTGGAGTTAGGAAATACTGGCTCCAGCTGTGTGGGGAAGTAGTGGGAAATGAACTGGATGAATCTGAGGTAATGTAATGATTTAATTTTTTGTCTTAGGATTTGAATAATGTTTGTGAACCTGTTGTAACTCAACCCAAACCAAAAATTGAATCACCCAAACTGGAGAGAACTCCAAATGGCCCAAATACTGACAAACAAGAAGATGATTTAGAAGGCAAAAATAATTTTGGTGCTGAAGCTCCGCATCAGAACGGTGAATGTTACCCTAACGCGCAGAGCTCTGTGAACATGGACTTGGACTAGTGGTATTAAGCTGGCTTACTCCTTCAATGAATGAAATATTTTTGCCATAGTATGTGATTCTACATAACAGACTGAGACTATTTATATTTTGTTTTTTTTAAGAATGTCTAGAAATTTTGTGTATTATATGGAAAAAAAGAAAAAGCTTAAGTCTGTAGTCTTTATGATCCTAAGGGGAAAATTGCCTTGGTAACTTTCAGATTCCTGTGGAATTGTGAACCCATACTGAGCTTCTGTGCAGTATTACCATTTGTATCACTGAGGATGAATTGATTTCTGTCTTGTGAGGAAACAAACTGTACTGCTTGTTCAAGAGGGCTGTGAATAGCATCTTTAAGCACTTGTTCCTGCCAAGGTAGTTTTCTTGCATTTTGCTCTCCATTTCAGCATGTGTGTGGCTGTGGGTGTTTATAAGCAAGACTAAGTCTGAATTCATAAGGGCTTTTGACAATTAATTCTGTCCAGTAGGGTGATTTGCTTTCATATTATTACAAATTCAATGAGTAAAACAAAAGCTAGTGAAATGTGTTAGCAGCATGCAAAATAAAACTATAAAGTTACCTCGCTATCAGTGCATTGTCGTGTGAAGGTGCGACATGAAAGAACGTTGATCCTGTTGTAACTGATTGTGTAAACTATGAACTTTAAAATAAAGTTCATTCTGGTGTTGTTTCTAAATTGTTGATTTCGTCATTGATTAAAAAGTGGGGTTCAGGGGGCTAGAGAGATGACAGTGGTTAAGAGCAGTGGCTGCTCTTACAGCGGATCCAGGTTCAGATCCCAGCACCCACATGGAGGCTACTGTCCTTAACTCTAGTTCCAGGGGATCCAGCACCCTCTTCTGGCCTTTTCAGGGCAATGCACATATGTGCACTTGCATACGTGTAGACAAAACACCCATACACATAAAAATAATTAAAAAAAAAAAGTTGCATTCAGGAGTGTGAATGACTGAACAATGGTTACCTCTGTGAAGGAAACCTTCCTAGTGAAGATCTTCCTCCTCGAGAAGAGTGAGCAGCACTGCTAACTACATTTCAAAACTTACAATTCAGTGAGTAGATGTGAAAATTCCATCCTCCAGAAAGATAATTGCTAACATCCAGCAATGTCTGTTGGCCTTCCAGCTTTTCTGCCTTGTTGATATCTGGGTGGGTGGGTACGTTACAGTGTTCTAAAACTATAAACCCAGAGTTTGGTCCAGTATAGTCCAACATTACAACTTCACAGCTTTACTGAACTCCTTCATAGAGCCATTTAAACTATTTTAGCCAGTCCCACCAATGGTGGATTTAGTTTTGGTTTTTAGTTTATTCAAGATTTTGCTACTTTTAAATAATGCTGCAATACATCTGTGTATCTGGTGTTTATTTTCTAAGGAACAAAAAAAAAGAGTGGGGAGTAGAGGCATGCACACTTATGTCCACACTCCAGACCAAAACAACGAGTGATGTGTCTGTCTGGCAACTTGGTGTCCACTTTCAAAGACTCTGGGATGGGAGTTAGTCCCCAGTTAAGGTAAAGAAGTTAATGTGGAAGCTTGGGACCACGTGGCTCTTCACAGTATGTGAGGTCCTTGTCCTGACTGGAATCTCAGCTGTAAACTTGAGGCTTCCTTTCCTGAGCTCTGGGGGGTCTGTTCTGACATACACAAGTGATACACTGATCCATTTCAAGTCTTCCTTAGCCTTTTCCTGTTGGCTGTAGAAGTTGTGTCTCTGGTTTCTTGCCAGTGCTAGAGGAATTGAGGGTGCTGTACTTTTCCATAGGTCCAAATACTTTCACTGACCCTCAAGTCCTGAAACCTTGCTGCAGCCAGTGGAATGGAGGCAACTGGAGTATCTCACAAGTGCACTGTTGGACTGGTGTTTTCAGGGGAGGACCTTCCCTATGTGGACTCTTCCCCTCAGCACTGTGGTTTGAATAAGTGTCCCCCCAAATGTCTGTATATTACAGGCTTGGTACCTACGAGTGCTGTTGGGAAGTAAACCTTCACAAGATGAAGCGTGGTCAGAGGTCGCTGGCTGCATGTCTTCAGAAGCATGTGCAATTTGCTTTGCTGTCCACTTCCTGCTTTTGCCAGGTTAGCCACCAGAAGCCTAAAGGAGTGGGTCCCTCAGAGCTTAGGAAGCTCCAAAACAAAGGGTCAAAATAAGGCTTTTCTCTAATTACCTGCATTAGTTATTTTCATTGCTGTGATGTAAATGGAAGGAAGGATTTCTTTTGGCTTAGGTTTGCGTTGCTCAACATGGCAGAAGAAATTCATCTCAGAAACCAGATTAAGGTCCTACCTTCAAAGGCATCATGACTCCCAGCTAGGCCCTACATTCTAGTTTCCACAACCAAATACTGCTACCAGCTGGGGACCTGACTGAAGTATAAGGCTGTGGGGGGCATTTCATAGTCATTTGATAACACCTGAAATGTTAATAATATTGGAAAACCAATACTTAACACTGCACAAACGCACCATTCTACAGATTTCCCTCTGTACTAGCAGTGTTCTGTAGCTATAACAAAACATACCTGAGGACTGACTCTACTATAAAGAAGAAATATTTAATTAGATCAGGTTTGAACATTAAAATTATAAACAGCATAGCGCTAGCTCTAGCAAGTTTCCTCTCACCACAAAACAGCAGATGACGTCAAAGATGGACTATATGCACGAAACCACGTGTCAGGAAGCCAGAGCAACTGGGGCTTAGCCAGTCTTGTCTTGCTCTTTCATAACCTCTGGAGAGCTAAGCACGGTCCCACCAGAACATTAATTCCTCCAGAACACAGAGCCTCTGATGACTTCCCACTGGGCTCCCACCACACTTTTAGATTATTTTTATTTTTAAAATGTGTATTCATGTGTATCTATGTGTGGGTATATGTGCATGTGAGTCCAATTTCCTGTGGATGTCAGAAGAAGGTATCAGATTCCTGGAGTTGGAGTTTCAGGGGGTTGTGAGCTACCCGATGTGGATGCTGGAAACCAAACTGCAAGAGCACCAAGTACTCTTAACTGCTGAGCTGTCTCTCCAGCCTGTGGTCTCCACTTCTTAAAGGACTACTACCTTCTGACTTCCCCACGCTAGGGAGCACTCACCTCCTGACATCTCTACTACATGAAATTGGAGGATAAGCCACATCCAAGGGAGAGCACTTCTATTGTGCTCCTTTTAGTTGACTATATGATGAAAAAAACAAGTATAGAGAATGGCACAGCACTGACTCAGCCCAATAGGGAAGAAGGTCAAAGTAGCAAATGCTTGTTTGGTTTTTCACTCAAACATTTGTATCCTGGTGCTGCTTTTCACTGTCCACATGGCCTTCATACTACCTTCCCCTAATTCCTGCTATAAAATCAGTTTCTGGGGGCTGGAGAGATGGCTTGGTGGTTAAGGGAACTGGTATTATTTCAGTTAATGGAAAGCTAGTCTATTTGTTACTCTTGGGTGCCCATGGTTACTTAACTTTGTTGCCCTGGGTTTGGGGACACCTGCAGGTCAGAGAGTGCTGACAGTGTCCAGAGAATCATCATTTATAATCCAGGAGCAACAAGCAGTTCTTCCCAGTCCAAAAGATGTGCTGACTCCCACAGGGCCTGTGTGTTTGGTTTACCTCAGCCGACTGAGAAGCAGATTGTCTCAGAGTAATGGGAGAAACTAGGGCCACACTAGAAGGAAGCAGCGTAAAGAGAAAATTTAAAAGGAAAATAAGGGCTGCACGATGTATTTTGAAGCAATAATCCCTGGCCTTAACAGTAAGGGTGTCCATGGACAGTGGGGCAAGCCAGAGTTGATGAGAGTCAGAGATTCTCAAGAGTCGCCCAGGCTTTGGCAGGAGTCTTGTCTGTAAAGGTACAGTGCCTTTCTTCAAGGCTGCGGTTGTGGCAGTCCTTAGGATTTCAGTAAGGCTTACATGTGGGATTCCTAACTTTATGACCACCTAGATTTATTAATTTTTGATTGTGACTTGACACAATTCCTTTTTGATCTGACAGCAAGCCTCCCTGAAAATGTCTTTTAACCATCCCTTACCTTTAAACAAATAGCAAATCAGCACTTACTAATTTTTTTTGTAGTGTCCTTGTCTTTATCTAAACAGAAAGAGCAGTACAGTGAATGTGTGACCAGTCACTATCAGACTCAACATGCATCTTCCCACACACCTAGAACAGACACAGGCTACCACCATGCCAAGAAAATTCTCCTTGACACAATAGTACCATCAGGTCCCATTGTCCCACAGAACAAATGGTTTTTACCACCATTTCTTAGATCTAGGATTCAAAGATCATTTACTCCCTTTGATTGTTTCATTTAGCCCAACAACTTTTAAGTGATGGCAAGTTTTATTTGAGAATTTTGGTCACTTCCCAACTAGGGAAGCATTTAACGTTAAGGATAGTTTTAAAAGAGAAATTAACAGCTGGTCATGGAGGCACACACCTTTAACCCAGCACTCAGGAGTCAGAGGCAGGCAGATCTCTGTGAGATGGAGTCCAGCCTGATCTATATATTGAGTTCAGGCCAGCTGGGGCTTACAAGGAAACTGTCTCTCAGAGAGAGAGAGGGCGGCGGGGCGGGGGGGGGGGG